CACTTTCTAGCTAATTATCACTGATCTCTCCTGGGGTAATCTTTCATTAGATAAGGATTTTTGGAAGCCTACAAATGCAGGCTATCATGGTGGGCTGACCCCAGCCCTGACATTTGCCAGCTATATTAACATACTTAATTATCTTACTTTTGTGGATTTTAGTTTACTCATGTGTAAAATAAGAATAATAATATTTGTTTTGTAGTGTTCTTGTAAGGATTAAGTGGAAAAAATGCATGTAAAACACTCAGCCCAGATCCTGTCACTTAGTAAGCATCAATAAATTATAATCACTGGATACAAAGAAATGAATTTGGTACTTTAACAGAAACATAATCTTTTGCCAAATTTGAGAAGTTTTCATCTATCATTCATCTATTTATATATATAAATATATATATATATATTTCCTGTAGTTAAAAAATTTAATCTTGTAGGAGAAGACAAAATAACAGGCAATAAGTCAGTAAGCTGTTAATTATCCAAGTGGCCTTGGGCATGTTCTGTCCCCTTCTGTGAGCCTCAGTTTTTTTATTTAGTAAAGGAGGAGACATTCCATTTCCAGAACATTCCATTTTCCCTGTTCCTTCTGCTAAATACAATTTAAAACTTTATATATAAAACAAATGTAAGAAGACTCTGAAAGGTGGAGAGAAGAAGGCAAACTGGCTTGGCACCTTAGGACACAAAGTACAACGCAGTGGTGAGTTCTCTGGGTTTTCTTTTTGCCTCATATAGTTCAATCTTGGTGCTGAAGAAGCCAGAAACCCAAAATGCAGACAGATGCAGACCAAAGAAAAGTCCCAACAAAAGTCTGCAGTTTATAGCCACAGGACCAGGAAAGGCTAGCAAGACTGAAACATTTATACAATAACCAGACAAACACCAAGACAAAACAGAACTGTGGTGTCACCACCATTTATGCCTGCAAAAGCCAAGTAGGGAGCCTAGATTTTCATCCTCAAGTAGCTATAATGAGGTACCCACCCACCCACAACTGGGGTTTGACAGAGAAGAAGAAAAGAACAAATAGAGAGTTAGGACTTCCATTCCCACTGAGCAGTAACGAGACAACCTTCCTACTCTTTGCTGGAGTGGTGTCAGAGAAGGCCCAGTGAAGAGCAGGTCTTTCATCACTACACGGCAGTAATAAGAACAACCTCCCTCCGCTGTAGTGTCATTGGAGGCCATGTGGGAAAAAGTAAAGCCATTCCTGTCTCTCCCAGCCAGGATATTATCAGTGGAGGCCTAGGGGGGATCCAGAACTCCCACCCATGCCCAGCAAAATAAAGAGTCCCTGCTGCCTTAGGTATCAGTGGAGGCTGAGAGGAGAACCTGGACTTCTACTCCTACCAGGCAATAACAAGTTGGTACCCTCTCCTTCCTCTTCCAGCATTTTGTCAAAATAAGCTAGCTAAGACAGAAGGTTTAACTAAGATCCAGAGTCTCATAGCATAGTACCCAAAATGTATGATTGAACCGAAAATCACTTGTTATACCAAGAACCAGAAAAATCTCAACTTGAGTAAAAAAATACAATAAAAAAATTCCAACACTGAGATGATAGTAATGTTAGAATTATCTGGAAAGATTTTAAAGTAACCATTCTAAAAAATGTTTCAGCAAGCAATTATGAATGTGCTTGAAACAAGTGAAGAATATTCTGTTCTCAGCAAATAAATAGAAAATGTAAAGAAGAACCAAAATGGAAATTTTAAAACTGAAAAAAATACAATAACCAAAATTAAAAATTTAAAGGATGGGCTCAACACAGAATAGAGGAGACAGAGGAAAAAATCAATGAACTTGAAGAAAGAACAATAGAAATTACCCAATCTGAACAACAGAGAGAAAATTGACTGAAAAAAATTAACAGAGCCTCAGGGACAAAAGATCTAGCATTTGTGTAATAAGAGTCCAGAAAGAGAGGAGAAAAAAGATGAGGCTAAATTACTTGAAGAAATAATAGATGAAAACTTCCCAAATTTGGCAAAATATCTAATGCTACAGATTCAAGTTATAGTCAAACTTCAGAAAACTAAAGACAATGAAAAAAAAATATTGAAAGCAGTGAGAGAAACACTTTACCTACAGAGGGAAAACAATAACAGCAGATTTCTTATTAGAAACCATGGAGGCCAGAAGGAAGTGGCACAATATTTTTTGTTCGCTGAAAGAAGAGTTGCCAATCCAAAATCATATGCCCAATGAAAATATCCTTCAAAAATGAAAGGAAAGTCAAGACATTCTCAGAAAACTAAGAGAATTTGTCATAAACAAACTAAGAGAATTTGTCATAAACAAACCTACCCTAAAAGAATGGCTGAAGGAAGTTCTCTAAAAAGAAAGGAAATGATAAAAGAAGGAATCTTGAAACATCAGGAAGGAAAAAAGAATAATGGAAAGAGTAAAAATATTGTTAAGTATGATAGATTTTTCTTGTCCTTTTGGGTTTTCTAAATTATGTTTGATGGTTGAAGCAAAGTTATAACACTGTCTGATATGATTCAAAATGTATATAGAAGAAATATTGAAAACAATTCTTTTGTAAACAAACATAAAGAGAAGTAAAGTTTCTATACTTTGCTTCAATTGGTAAAATGTCAACACCAGTAGACTAATAAGTTATGTATAAATAATGTAATACAAAGAGCAAGCACTAAAGAAGCTATACAAAAAGATACACTCAGAAACACTATAGATAAATATGGAATTCTAAAAATGTTCGAGTGATCCACAAAAGCCAGGAAAAAGAAAAAGAAAAATGAAAAAAGAAAAAACAGAAAAATGGCATACTTAAGCTCTAACATATCAACATTTACATTAAAAATAGAAATAGACGTATCTAAAACTATGCCATCTACAAGAAACATCAAATATAGTGATATAGACAGGTTGAATATAAAAGAATGAAAATATGTAGCATGTAAATATGAATCAAAGGAAAGCAGGATTGACAATATTAATATCAGATAAAGTGGAATTTAGAGCCAAGAAAATTACTAAAGGTAGAGAGGAACATTATATAATGATAAAAGGATCAATCTACCAAGAAGACATAGCAATCCTATGTATGGACCAAACAACAGAGATACAAAATATGTGAAACAAAAATTAATACAAATGAAAGGAGAAATAGACAAATCCACAGTTACAATTGGAGACTTCAACTCCCCTCTCTCAAAAATTGATGAAACAACTAGACAGAAAATTAGCAAGGAAATAATAAAACTCAACAACACTGCCAACTAACAGGACTTAAGAGACATTTAAAGAACACTCCATCAATAACAGCAGAACACACACACTTTTCAATGACCCATGGAACATATACCAAGATAAACCATATCCTGTGCCATAAAACTAACCTCAATAAATTTAAATGAATTGATATCAAACAGTATATTCTCTGACCACAGTGGAATCAAACTAGAACTTGATAACAGAAAATGAACAGGAAAATCTTCAAATATTTGGATGCTAAAAACACACTTTTAAATAATCCAAAGATCAAAGAGGAAGTCTCAAGGGGAATTTTTTATAAATACTCTAGGGTAAATAAAAATAAAACATACTAAAATTTGTGAGACATAGCTAAAGCAGTGCGGAGAGGGAAATTTAAATTTAAAGAAGTCTGAACTAGATAATATATAACATTTATTGCTATATGTAGTCACTATTCAAAGTACTTTACATGCATTATTTCATTTGATTCTCACAACATCTTTTTGAGGGTGGGTATTACTATGGTCCTTATTTTAAGGAAACAAGGGTATATGAATTTAAGTGAATTGCCCAAGGTCACAGAGCTAGTAACATTGGGATTCAGGCTCAGGGTTATCTACCTCCAGAATCTGTGCTCTAGATAATCTTAAAGTACAAACTAATATTAATAAAAGTGAAGAGCTCAGTGTCAAAAGAATATGAGGTAGAGGAATAATCTTTAGTTGGGTTGGAGTTGTCTGGAAAGGAAACAACCATTTACTGAAGTTTTCTTTCCTTCATTGACCATTTTGTACTTGCTCTCTATAAGAATGGCAGAAAGGTTTCACGTCACAGGCCAACTCTGAAAATGGCTACCTAGAAAACAATGCTAACACAGATTCTGATGCCACATAACAGCTGAGCAAGAGAGTTTTATGTTTAATTGGCTATTTTCCATTTACGAGGTGGAAAGAAAGGATGACATGAGAATGAATAATATGTTTTTGCATCTGTCACTATTTTAAGATTCGAGCTAGATGTTTTACATATGTTATGTTATGTAATCCATACAAAACACTGTGTGTAGAGTATTATTCACAATTTATCGATTAGGCTCAGAGAGTTTAGTTATCTTTTTCCATCCCCTTCCTTTTAGTCTCTGTGTCTTTTAATCTGATAGGCAACATGTAGTTAACCGAGGCTCAGAGAGTTTAGTTAACTGATTCAAACTCACACAGCCAATAAGTGCCAGAGCCAGGATGAAGCCAACTTCTCCATCCCAAGGAATCATGCTCTTTGCATGGACATGGATTGGTGGAGATGGCAAAAAAGAGTGGTTTGTGCAAAAAAAGAGTGGTAAGCACAGAAATAGCAATCAGCCAATCACTGAAAAGACAGGAAGCAGATTGGCCTGACTAAAGCAGAGGAGCATATTGGGTGATAATGACAGGAGATTAAGGGAGACAGAGTACCCACCTAGCTGATTGGAAGCTTTAAAACAAAAAGCTTATAACACTAAAAGATTTATTCTTCCAGTTTGTCTGTTTTCTGAGGGCTTCTAATGCAGTGGAAGATATAGTGACAATAGCAGGCTTCAAGACTTGTTTCTCTTTCCCCATATTCTTGTGCCAGTTTTCTTTTCTTTTTTTTTTTTAACTTGTTTATTTTAATTAGTTTCAAGTATACAGTACATTGGTTAGACATCTATGTAGTTCACAAAATGATCCCCAAATTGCTCCCTCCCTCCCCTGACCGTCCACCTAGCCAACGTATTCATGTTAATTGCATTTCCTATGCTGTGCTCCCCAACCCCGTGACCATCCATCAGCTACTAATTTGTACTTCTTTAACCCTTTACCCCATTCTCCCAGCCTTCCAACATCCCCTGTCAATCACCAAATTGTCCACTATATTTGTGAGTCTGTTTTTGATTAGTTTGTTCTTTTTATTCCTTAGATTCTACATATAAGTGAAATCATATAGTGTTTATTTTTCTCTGTCAGACTTAAATACCTTCTAGGTCCATCAAAGCAATATCTTTTTCTATCTCCTTCCTTTTAGTCTCTGTGTCTTTTAATCTGATAGGCAACATGTAGGGGACTTGTTTTCCTTTCAATTCATCCACTCTTTTAGTTGGAGCATTTAATTCTTTTCCATTTGAAGTACTTATTGATAGGAATGTAGTTGTTACCATTTTTTGTTTCTGTTTTTGATACATGTTTTTTTCTTTTTACAGAAGTCCCTCCAACATTTCCTGTAATACTGGCTTGGTGGTGATAAATTCCTTTAGCTTATTTTTGTCTGGGAAGTTCTTTATCTGTCCTTCAACTATAAATGATAGCTCTGCTGAATAAATTATTCTTGGTTGTAGACCCTGAGTCTTCATCCTGTCGAATATTTTTTGTCAGGCTCTTCTGTCCTGCATAGTTTCTTATGAGAAATCAGCTGCCAGTCTTAAGGATTTTTCCTTATAAGTAACTATCTGTTTTTCTCATGCTGCTTTTAATATTCTTTCTTTGTATTTAACCTTTGGCATTTTATTTATGATGTGTCTTGTTGTGGGCCTCTTTGAATCCCTGATTTTTAGAATTCTCTGAGCTTCCTGGGGATTTATGTCCATTTCCTTCACCAGGGTAGGGAAGTTTTCCATCATCATTTCTTCAAACAGCTTTTCAACATCTTGATTTTCTTCAGTTATGCCGATCAGACAGATATTTGGACCCTTAATAGTGTCCTGTATGCTCCTTAAATTCTTTTTATAGTCTTGGCATCTTTTTTCTTGCCATTCTGATTGAGTGTCCTTGGCTTTCCCATCCTCTAGATAGGGCATTTGATCCTTTTCTTTATTCAGTCCGTTTATTCCTTTGTCTATTCCATTTAATATACTTCTCATCTCAGATAATGTGTTCTTCATTTCAGACTGGTTCCCGTCTATAATTTCTATTTCCATTTTTATGTTTTTTTAATCTCTTTGTTAAAGTTCTCACTGAATTTAACTAAAGTTCATTGAGCATCTTTATAACCAATGTTTTGAACTCTGCTTCTGTTAGATTACTTGACTCCATTATATCTAGATCTCTGTTCTGTTCTCTCATATGGTTTCTGCTTCTTTGTCCTTCCATTTTAACTGCCTTTTCTTGTCTGTTTCTATGTACTAAGCAAAGCTCTTAAGTCTCCCGGTATTATTAGTGTGGATTTGTGAAGTAAGTGTCCAGTGATACAGTCCTGAGAGGGGTTTAGCTGCAGGCCAAATTTAGCCCAAGCCTCTGCCCCTCTGGGGCCACCTATTAAGATTCAGCAAGCAATCCACAGATGCTGTGCTTATAGTTGCCTCAAAGGGCCACACCAGAAACCGAGGCCAGCTGCCACCAGTGTGAGTATAGGTGCTGCTCAGCAAGGAGTACCTGACTTGCTGAGGATACACCTGGATGTGGCTTGGGTGGGGCTGCGAGTTGGGGGAGGCAGAGTTTCAGGGAATCCTCTGGGTGGAGTGACTTCTGTTATCCAGTTTGATGACATCAGGCCTATGGACGTGCAGTGTCTTGCGCACTGGCATGGGGGAGGTCTCAACAGGGAACAATGGATACTGCTGGCACTTCTGGACCAAGCAAGTCTCACCTCAACCCTCACTCCGACAATGTCTTCCTGTAAGTCCCTGGTGCCCCCTGTGCAGCTGAGCTGGCACTGGTGCTCAGAGGGAGCAGGTCCATCACTGCAAAAATCTGCTGGTGGACGTGGCCCCTTTAAGCAGCTTCTGCTACTGCTGCAGCCTCCATCTCAGCTGCTGGAGACTGGGCAGGCTCGCATCCTTGCCTCGTTCTTCCTTCTGCCGTTGCACAGTGCTTTTTTAGATTTCTCTCTAGTTGTATGGCTTGTTCATCAAGATCCCAGATGATTTTTCCTTCTGCTGCCCCTTGTTTTCGTCACAGCTTTGATTTGGTCACCAGAGGGATGAACAAAGCTTCTATCATCTACTCCAGTTTGGTTCCCTCCTCCTTGTGCCAGTTTTCTTAACCTGCCTTCTTAAGGGGATTGAGATCCATCAATTTTCCAATTGTGTTTTTTTATTATAAAAAATAGATATATATATTACAAAAAAAATCTCAAATAATAAAGTGTATAAATTATAAAGTATTACCACCAACCTTTAATCCCATTCCCCAAAAGTAACTCTTGTTAATGTTTGCTATCTTTTAGATCTTTTGTATATTTATAAATATATGTATATAATTTATTTTATTATATATTACATGACATTTAAAATATATACTTATATGTTATATATGTACACATACATGTAAAATGCTATATTTTACATGTATATAGTATATATATATATAATCCTGATGACATAAACACAGTTTAATCATTCTTAGTAAAGAAAAGAGTCAAAGACCAAGAAGTTTGAGCCAGAGCTCAGATTTTTTAAATTGTCTTTTCCTTTGTGAAAAGCTGCATTCCTCTCAGGGATAAGATCTCCTGGAAAGGGCTATCAGAGCTTCTAATGAAAGGGCCTTGAAAAAGGAAATGGCTTGTTCTGATTGCTTTGTTACTGTTAACCCTAAGTCAACAAGGTCAGTAGATTCTAGGGCAAGAAATTAAGTTTAAGTGCTTGGGAAGAAAATGTGTGGTCTAGTGCCTGTAGGGGGCTTCTGAATGAACATTCAGGACCTACCTTATCTCATTAAATTC